TACTGTATAGTATTAAATGAATATATCAGAAGTCTTTCTCTGAAATCCCTGTCACTGCCTGACTAGCGAAAAATCCTCAGCGAAACATATGAATGTTCTGTAGGGCATCTCATGTCAGGCAAGTGAAAGCTAGGCCTCTACTTATAAGCGGTATGATACTATGGTACCGTTTGAGTTTCGGGCCAAAATCATAACCGAGTTGAAAGCACATCCATGGTTTGATCATACCGCAGGGTGACCATCTTGCTTGGAACAGTAATCGTTGCTCAGACTATCACAACACTCTGTTTTCGATGCTTTGCCCTCGAAATTTCACTTTCCCTTTATACCTAACATTACTTTTTCTTTATACCTAACATTTCATAACATAACCTTAGGTATTGGCTTTATTTTGTGCACAAATTATGAAAAATGTTCTGAAGCCATAGCTGAAGGCAGCTGTCGATATGTCATAAGTCCTCTCCCTTAGCTACTTTTCCCTACACTAACACCTCGATACTGTGATATGTAGAACATATTGAAAAACTTGACTGATTTAGGGAGTTACGGAATAACCTAAAACTGCTGGAGAGCCATAAATGAGGGTGCGGAACTTGTCTAAATATAGGCCTTTGTCCGATGAACGATACTCTTCCGAAGTATCGCTCCACATTCGAGGCCAAAATTGAAGCCAATTTGATCTTCCTCCCATCCAGGTTTTACTTATACCGCAGGGTGGCCCCCTAAATTGGCACATTTCTTTCGATTAGTCTAAGTAGGTCTTCATCTCAGTCTACCCTTGTATGGGAATGACTGTATTTCATTATTCATCATTATTTCCAATAGTGTGTTACTGGGACGCTTGAGAGCTTCTTCATTTTCTTCATAGCAATACTGTATAGTATTAAATGAATATATCAGAAGTCTTTCTTTGAGATCATCGTCACTGCCTGATATGGTGAAAAAAGTTTTTATCCTCAGCGGATAACATAAACGTTCTGTAGAGCATTATTTCATGTCAGAAAAGAGAAAGACCGGCCCCTATAAATGAGCAGTGTTGTTCTATGGCACCGTTCAAGTTTGGGGCCAAAATCAAAACCAAGTTGCCGAGCATCATCCATGGCTTGTTCATACCGCAGGATGATATGACTTCCTGGAACAGTAACCACGTCTCAGACCAGAAATTACGTTTTCGATGCTTTGCCCTCGAAATTACTTAGAAAGTTTTATAGCTTTTCCTTTACACTTAATGTATCATATAATAATCCTAGGTGTTAGCTTTATTGTATCCTCCAATTATTAAAAAAATGTGCTGGAGAAGAGGTAGAAGAAGCTGTCGCATTGGTACTGAATATGTCATAAGTCATTTCCCTTGGCTCGTTTTACCTTAACCAACACCTTGATACACCGTGATATGTAAAACTTTTGAGAAACTTACTGAACAATGTTTTTACTGACCTTTTCCAACAATCATAAAATTATCCAATTTATTATTACTTGTTCTTTATTTTTATTTTGAATTCTGAGCCAGAGTTCAAATTGTTGTGTATAGAGACTACGGCTAAAACCTGTGGAACGCGCTTTCCTCAATTTTATCTGTGTGACCTCTTCTCAGCTACGGTATGATGTTATGGCACGTACTGTACAAGAGTGAGGCCAAAATCAGAGCCACGTTGATGAGAGGTTCATCCATGGTTTTTTTATGCCGCAGGGTGATAATACTACGTGGAACAGTAACCATTTCTCAGCCTCTCAGAAACTAATTCTCAATACTATCCCCGTATAAAACCAACTATTTTATTGCTTCATCTTTACTCTCGCATATTGTTCTATGAGCTCAAATTCCACCCTCTTTCATGGCGATCCTGCGTATGTAGTAATTTAAACGGAGTAATTTCGTCGCTGCATGGTCTAGTGAAGAGCCTTAAGTGTTCAGTGAATCGTTCAGTTCGGAAATCCATGTGGAAGATCTGAGACTATTCGTTCAGGACGGGCTAATATTGGAGGACAGTACAGCCATTTAGCGCGGCAATCATTTTAAGCATTAGCTTTATTTTATCCTTAAGTTGAGGGAAAAGTGCTGTGAAACCAAGATTAAGGGCGACAATTGTATGGGTACCGAATAAACCCCTCTTTTTGCACAGCAACTACAGCAACTGAGCTTTTTTCCCTCCACTGCCGTCTCAAGATACTGTGACATGTGGAAATTATTGTAAGACTCGGCCAGTCAATCTTTCTCCTGCTCTTCTATCGCCACTCATGATATTACTCTTATTTTTCATATCAACCTTTGGTTTAGATTTTTTTACAATATGAACAGTAATCATTGCTGTCTTTTGAAACAAATTATATTTATTTTACAAGTAGGCATGAGGCTAAAATCGAGTGTGAATCGATACCGGCTCTACATAGCTCTTCTACAAACGGAGGGCGATTACACGGACTGCACAATTATTTTTTGTTTGGTCTGGGTCTTCAATCTCAATCCCTGCAGAAATCACTGGTAATGCATTTTCATCCTCATCCTCAACAGTCTTACCCTGATTCCACTCAAGCTTCTTCCCTTCCTTTCATCTCGATTCGAATTCATAGAATTCAATAGCTCCATCGAAAGTATTGCCTAGCTTTAGTCACTGCTCGAAGTAGAGAATGTACAAGCCGTCTGTGGAGAATCTGGGACTGCTGAAGGCAGCGGTATGTCAAAATTAGGCCTTCGTCCGATGAACAATACGGCTTTTATGGTATCGTTCCACATACGAGGCCTCTACCAATGAGCGGTACTATTCTAGTGCACCGTTAAATTGCGGGGCCAAAATCAAAAACAAGTCGGTAAGGGCCACTCATGGTTCGTTCATACCGCAGGGTGGCATCCCTTCTTGAAACAGTAACCAGACCATCAAAAAATCACATTTTCGAAGCTTAGCCCTCGAAATTTACTCAAGAAGTTTCAATGCTTTCACTTTACACCTAGCATAATTTAGGTATCATATATCATTATTAGCTTTACTTTGTCCTCAAATTATTGAAAAAATCTGAAGAAATAGCTGAAAGATGCTGTCGTATAGAATATGTCATGGTTTCTCCCTTGGCTCTTTTTACCCTCATTAGCACCTCGATATACTGTGATATGTAGAACCTATTGAGAAACTTAACTGATCAGTGTTTTTACCAATCTTCTTCGGACAGTCATCAAATTACCCCATCTGATATATCTTGTTCTTTATTTTTATTTGGAATCTGAGCCAGCGTTCTAACCGTTGCTGATGGAGCCTACGGCTAAAGCTTGCGCAACAAGTCCGTCTCAATTTCATCTGCATGACCTCTTGTGTGGCACGGTATGACATGATGGCACGTACCGTAAGAAGATGAGGCCAAAATCAAAGTCACGTAGATGCTCGGTCATCCACGGTTTGTTTATGCCGCAGGGTGAGATTACTACGTAGAACAGTAATCATTGCTGTCCTTTGAAACAACTCATATTTATCTTCATGCCTGACATTCTCCTCTAAACTCAAGTTCTCTTCTTTTTTCACGGAGCTTTTTGGCTTTAAAGTAATGCACTGGAAGTAATTTCGTATTTGAATTCTGGGCCAGCGTTCGAATCGTTGCGCAGGCTACGGCTAAAACCTGTGCATCGTGTTCGCCTTGTTTTAGCTGCATGACCTCTTGCCAGGAATGGTATGACACCATGGCACATACCGTACGGAAATGAGGCCAAAATCAGAGCCACGTAAATCGTCGGCTCACCCATGGTTTGTTTATGCCGCAGGGTGAAGTTACTGGAACTGTGATCATTGCTGCCTTTTGAAATGACTCATATTTATCTATACGCTCAATATATTGTTGTAGAATTCTCCTCCTCTTTCCTTTTTCTTATTTCCTGTGTAGGAATGCAGTGGGAGTAATTTCGCCGCCGCCTGAACTAGTGTAGAAAGGTGAGCGTTCAGTAGATTATTCATTTCTGAACTCTGTGAGGAAGGTCTGTTAAAGGTGGTGCACGGAATGACCATATGGAACGTACTGTGTAATCGACGCCGGAGCTAATTTGATCTCCGGCGTTCAGGACGTCTTAATGTTGGGGGCTGGGAGAGGGCAGTACAGCCAACTAGCACGGCATTCATTTCAGGCATTGGCTTTAGTTTATCCCCCAAATTGAAAGGATATTGCTATTAAGCCAAGGTTGGAGGCTACTGCTGTATGGGTACTGCTAAGTCATCCCACTGGGAGCAGCTAACTGCTGCTTCTTTTTCTCCCACCAGCAACTCAAGATACTGTGGCCTCTAGAAGCTTTTTAGAGGCTCGACCGTTGAGAGAATTTCTAATGCTCTTCTTCAGGCAATCTTATCTTGAATACTTTACTTGGATATTCTAGCTTTGTTCTGTTCATAGTAGTTATTTTTAATTGGCTTCTATCCTCTGTTCAAGTCGTTGTGCAGGCTACGGGTACTGCCTTCGCAACGTGTGCTACTTGATTTTACTTACTTGGCCTCTTCACAGGACTGCGTGACATCATGGCACGTATCGCTCGAAAAAGAAGCCAAAAACAGAGAACCATTTCAATCTAGGTCATCTCAGATGCGACGACATCGGGGTGATATTCCGGGAATGGTACAAATCACATAACATATTTGTTTTGATGTCAATTATATGTTTTTTTTTCCTTTCTTGGCCATCGCAGTTCTATATGAAATGAGCTCTGTCAGGAACTGCAATGTTGACGGACCACTGGTAGATTGTTCAACAAACTCCAATTGAAGAAATTGCTTGGCCCCCTAGATAGTATGGCCATTCAATAATGGTACATACCTTGTACAGTGAGGCCAAAATCAGCTCTCCATTTCAAGTTCAGTCACCCATGACTGATGTCGAGGGATGATATTTCTGGAATGGCACAGCTTCCGTAGTCGTAGCATTGTTCACAGTAGAACTTATTGCCCGAATTCAATCAACCATAGATCATGAGCTTTGATACTTTCGTGCGAAGAAACATCTAAAAGTTCTGATTTAGGGAGGGGGAATGAAGTAGAAAGCCCCCACAGATTTGTTGGGTCCATGAAAGCAATTTTCGGTTATGCGATTATTACTTATGGCATAATTCTACTGTTAGTTTTTTTGTCCCTGAATTTGTTACTTGCTGCTGCATTCTGCTACATTCCTTCGCGCGTGGCACTTCTCTCGCCCTAACGCGACAGTTTCTTTCTTACTTCCCCCACGCTCACTAATGACGGTTGAAATGTTTGCAGATGATCGGTGCTTTTATGATGCGCCATGCATTTCACCACCACTCAGAGTTGAAATGTGGTATTACAAATGTTTTGTTCTCAAGGGCTGATCTTCGCTGAGCAAATAGGGAACGTACTAGCACAAGTTCCGAATAGGAACTTTAAGAAACTACTATAACTATTCTTACTACGAATCTGTAGTGAATGTCTTGATTCAGTTTCGATCTTGGATCTGTGGTATCGCCATGTGCCTACTACAAAGCACTTCATGAAGTACGTGCTTTGTTCGCATTCGCCTCTCGAATCGGTCTTGAATTGGACACTGTAAATCTCGGTGGTGGATTCCCAGCTAGTAAATTGGACAAGGAACAACGATTCCCAGAGGTAAGGTTCAACTTACATAGATTTTATCAAAATTACGATTTCCTTTGTAGATGGAAAGTAATGGCATTCAGTCCCGAAAATGGCTCATGTCATACTTGCATGAAAGATCGGGGACTAAAAAGTTAAAAACCGCGAGTTCCAGATGTGCGAAGTGATCAATGCCGGTCTCGATCAGCTATTTTCATGCAGAGAATTTCCAACATTGAAAGTGATCGCAACACCTGGAAGGTTGGTCATTACCTAGTTTTGTAGTGATTCATTGGATACTGGGTTCTTGTTCCCCCAATTTTATATTGTTCAAGTGTTCAGTTTTGATATGTGGATAGAACAAAATTAGGCCTCGCTTTTTCAAATTATCTATTCATTATAGAGCACAACTTCCTAAGTTTTGAATTTTGATTTTTTTTGGACATTTTTTCAAATGTAGGTAAAAAGGTACAAAAGTTGGAACATAGGTTTTTCTAATGTTGAATTTGCACATTTTCGTAATACCTACCAACCGTAAGAACTGAAGGCTCTTTCGAATGGTCGGAATCCCCCAAAATGTTAATGTGTCCGTTCCCCTGAAATTCCAAAATTTTTAACCCCAAACTTTGATTCTACTATTTTCCAGATACTTTGCTGCAGCTGCGTTTGTTCTATGCACTAATGTGATTGGAAAGCAGGCACTGGAAGCACGGTACATCACGAAAGACGGTGAGTGATATTACGTCTCTGCTCCCAGCTTTTAGAGATTCATGGTTTTTTCATTTACTGTTCTTTTATTTAATCTTTTCTATTTTTACAGATTTCGACGATGGTGTAGGATTCGTCTATCAAACGAATGACAGTGTCTATGGATCGTTTGGATGTCTGCTAATGAATTCGCAACCATTATGCACTCCTTTAGATGTAAGTGCTTACATGCATACGTGCAGAAAAGAGTCGTATTTGATCATAAAATAGAGGATTGACGTTAGGTTAGTGCTCGACTTGTAGACATACCCTCCCAACTTATGCCCCTTCAGATTCCTCTGATTAATTAACTGCTCATTAGAAAGATCAAGTACAATCTATTCACACCTGCCCAATAAATGTCTATACTATCCGAAGTTACCCTTTAATTAGTAAGGGATAAGCTACTAGAAGTCAGATTCTCCGCTCAGTTCTTCTAGCTGATGGCAAATGGTGCTGTGCGAACCAAAATTCATAGGAGTTGATTGCTAGGATTTAACCTTACCTGTTTCCCTTAGCCCTGCACTGACAGTATAGGTGGCCGAAAGTCCTTGTCGTATATTGTGTAAGTTAGGGTTGTCTAGTTTGAGAAATGTGTTTTTGAAGGAGCGGGCCTTCCTGAAGCTAAGGGCAATTCGCTGAGATTAAGGATTCCAACTGCCAGAAGGCTTCGCCTTTTCGTTTGATTGATGACTTTTGACCACGGTGAAGTAGATTCCTTGTTTTAGAGGTCTCTATCGTAAGCTCCTACTGTTTCGAAGGAGAAACCCCTAAGAAATGGAGTTTTAGAATTTTGTGAAGCCGCGCTACAAGAACCCGTCAAACTATGCTGTTAAGGCCTTGTTCTCGTGATTGGGTAGCCGAATGAAAGCTGTGGGGTCTTACTGGTATGGGCGTCATATTCTAAGCTGACCATGAGCAAGGGCTGAATGGTAAATTAATCAGTAAAGTGTTGCTGGGTTCTACGAGTCCCTACAGTTTCTTTACGACTTGCGTACCTACTCCAACAATTGTTCATTCATTTAGCATTTGTGAGTTCCTTTTTACTCAGATTTTCTCTTTAGGAAATTGCCGATGCACCTCAGCATTTTGGAACTGTGCTTGGAGCGTCGCTTCAACCAGGCGACGTCGCCCAATCGCTAATTCGTTGTCGCCAACTATGCGTGGGCGACTGGCTGCTCTGGAGAGATGCTGGAGCCTATACAATGCCTCTTGATGGAGAACATGCGCTACCACCAGTTTACTATTACGCCGGCATTGATGAGTGGTAAGCAAAGCTGCTCGTTCTCTTTGTTCCAACTGAATTCCTTCATGACCCAAACTCATTTCTTTCAGGGAACGTATAATTGGTGCGAATAAGGCGAATGGCGCCTATAACAACGATGGCGCTATGATGAGCTCGGATGCAATGGAGACGGCATCTGATGGAGCAAGTGATGTGGAGAGTCTCGACGACGACGGCGAAGACTTAACCGCATGTTTTGATCGAGTCTTCTTCTACTCACAATGATTACTGATCATGGCACCGTTGGCCAAGCACATTTGATTCCAAAAACAACATGGGATGGCGATCTGGAGTACGCTTCGAGGTAGTCGACACTGCAGCGCTGCGCCATCCGGGGCAGTAATGGTGGAGCCAGTGATGGTGTTGGCGCTGTCGTTGTCGAATCCCCTTCCCTAATTCCCGTTTTCTTCCTTGGTGGGGCATTTCTCCCGTTTGCTCTCGTTATCGCTCTCCCCCTTTTTCGTTTTGGTTCTGTTGACTTTCTTAGGTTCCCGTTTGGTGGCCTCGTTAAGCCTGTTGAGGCTTATAGAGAAGCTTCGCCGCTGCGCCCCTTATCCTCATTCATTCCTCAAACGTCCCCTTTGTGTTTCAATTTTCGCTGCAATTGTATTTAGACGTAGATATTTATTGTTATCCGGTTTAGTATTATTATAGTTGTAATAATGAGTTTATCATGAATTCGGATTGACCCACTCGCACCTTTGAAATGTGTATCTGGAGGTGATTTTACCTCACCTTATGTCATCATTACTGTTTTCACGATTTGAATTTTTGAAGTTTCCCTCTGTCATCAGATTGATTGACTGCCTTTTTCACTATGAACTAAGCGCCACACAACCAAACCTGTACTTTCTCTGTCAGCCTCATCTGCTCTCACTTCCATTTTCGTCATCAATTTCGTTTTTAGCTATCACTACACAGTTACTACTACTGTTTGAATAATACGCGCCCATTCTGATGTGCTTGGAGTGGTGTCATAAGTGATTTTATGTGGTGACACGAATATGTTGACAAATAAAGTAGTACTAGAGAAGTTGTAGAAAAGTATTTGGTAAAAATGTTGGATAAAGTAGAGATATACTTCCTTTCCCTCATGAATTCGAATTGTATAAAGCTCGAGAAGGGGAGGCAATCTAGCCACAACTATGAGGCAACCCTAAAAGAGGGTGCGCTTTATTCCGCGCGTCCATCGAAACGACGTCTCGCCGCGCCGTCGTAAGCGGCGCGTTGGCTCGCCATTCTTGACGGATTGTCGGTGAGGCATCCGATTTGCGTTTGGACGGACAGAAGGAAAGATAACACGGATTAGTGCAGATCACTCGCTCCACCGACACTTAGCGGTACTATAATGACGTCTCTGGATTCCAGGGGGCTGCGCCGCGCGGGAAGTGTGGGCGGGATGGCCTAGTTCCGACGGACGCGCGAAACGGACATTTCCCACCCTGAAGATAGACATCTACACTGGCCTGTATGGGCAGAGATTCCGGATTTGATCAGAGAAATGTACCTGTGGTAGTGATGCAAATTGACACTACCCCACCTCCTTTGACTAAAAATATTCTTAATCATACAAAATAGTTGTCTTGTATACAGCTTATCCTTGGGCGGGTTCTTACTGAACACACTGATTTAATGAAAAGAGTTGTTGAGTAGGAAAGTTTGATACCTACAATTAGATCAGTAGAACCCAGTCGCTACCAAGTCCAAGGAGCTCAATGACAGCATCAGATCAGCATCAGAATGATACGAACGAATTGTACGGTAAGCTATCGTAAGTAATTCAAAATGTTTTCTTCTGCCACTATTTTCTGATCACTAAATGTGCAGTGGCCTAGCAAGTGGTTCAGTTAAAAAAATGTGCATGCGCTGACGATCAGATATTCATGGGTTCGCAGCTGATAGTTTGAAAAATTGCCACGTCGACTGGTTAACGAAAAAGCCAAAAGCATAGAAAAATGGTAAAATGTTCGAAATACTAAAGGGGACCATGGTTGCTCCTGCCAATATTATCTGTCAACTTATAGACACTCACAGATCAAGGGTAAGTTAGGAAGAACAACACAGGAAGCAACAAAAGAATAGGACAAAACTTGGCATTTACAAATCTCCATTAAATTAAGCCATGCTCCCAGGCTGCCTTCAGAAATTCATTTGAATGCATATAATGACATCGCAATCCATCCGATCAACAATACAGTATACTTATTGGCCCTTTCATACCAGTTGCTAATTTAAAAAATTAGAAGAAAAGCGTTGAAAGTGAAAAGTTACGTGAAATTTGGATGAGGACGAGAAATTCCATTCGAAAATTACTTAATTAATTTAAAAGCCTCAACGCCTGATTCAGGGATTCACAGGTTCAGCTCAAATTCTCGCTGTAGGTCACGATCTGTGACCTAATAGTTCAATGCGCGATCTACCACTTTGGCGCCACATCCCAATCACGCTCCAGGGTCCCATCTTCAGGCTCTATTTTTGGGTGTTATGTCGTTCCAGCTCTGATCTTCCAATTAATAACGGACCCTAAATTACTTCAACGAATCTGCTCCTTTGTCTTATCTGTTCTTTCTGTGTACTTGCTTTTGTTGTTACTTTTTTTGACTGCGTCTGGATAAGCAGGTGATGAGCTGCCGCAGCTTAGTGGCACTACCATCATTCTTTTTGAATACATTTTAGAAATGCGTCTAGAAATCAAACTCTTCTTTTTCCTCATGAGCAAATAGTGCTAAAATTTGAATGTTTTCGTTGAACCCCAACTAACAAATGTGAAGGATAAATGAAAAGGGAGAGGAGCAGCCTTCTTCTCCAGCACTAGACAGTAAAGCGCAGGGGAGGAGTAGCCGTCGTTGCGGCCAGTGATGACATTCCCGAAGCAGAATTAGTATGCTACCACACTACCGCTAACACCTTTTAGAGGAAATGGATCAATGGTCAATTTTATGAGTGATTCTTTCGCAGCCCATTTTTTGTCAAAAAATCATCAGAAATCATCAGGAAGACTTCCATGGGGCATTGTATAAGGCTGAGATGTTTTCAAATATTTTTGTCACTCTAAATACTGCCCGGTGTTCGATGAATACTGAATGAACTGACTCCTTTCTCATATCGTTCTACCCTTGTTCGGTTGTCCTCATCTCGAGCAACTCGATGTCGTCCAACGTTGTATGGAGTGAACTGTACTCCACTCAAGACTCCCGAATCATGGCATTAGGTGCACTCCATTACGTTCACAGCAGGGAATGCCAGACAAATACATGGCGCATTAATCCGAAGTTAATAAGTTCATGGGCACCGGTGGGCCGTTAGCTAAGTGGCATCGCCACCTCGCGTATGGAGCCGAAATCTATCGGAATCGGTAACAGTCGCAATAACAAAGACTTTCTCAGACCGCATAATTCCTACTACACCCTTCTAAGAAGATAGGAGCAAGGGATTTTATATCGGCTGACTCCCGTAAACAATTGCCTGGTCAAATAAGTGTTCGAACGCCACTGATTCTGGCTGCATTCCCAATTGGGATTGTTAACGTTAAAAACTTGCTATCTCATGCTTTCACATGCTTCTGTGCTGGGAGATTGCCGAATTTTTCATAAATATTCACCAACGGATGTCCCATTTCACGGAAGTCGCCCTTTGTTTTCTCCCATTATGCATAACGATCCTCTTATGTCTTGAATAAATCATGTGGTCGTTCCGTTTAACGACGTTTTTCAGCGTGTTTCAAACTGGGAACGTTGAAGAACAACATCATGAATTTACTTTTACAATAAATCAGATCAACTCGGTAAGCGATATCGGGCGACTGCAAGCGATATTTGGCGATTTTAAGGACGTTGAAGTGACCATTGCCGACAAAATGGGAACGGAAGATTCGTGACAACAAAGTTCATCAGAAACCACATGGATAGGCACGGATTGACACTGGAATAGGCGTGTCCCTATGCCCCTCATCCAATACACTACCGAGACAGACTTTTGCTTTCACGTTGCCTCCGATTCGAGGGCTCTGCTGTAAGATCAGGTCCTCTCCGTGTCCAAACATTTTGTCAACATCTCTGTGAGTTCACGATTGCAATCGCTACAGAAACATCAGCACTTTCAAACCAAGTTCGCAGTCCAAGGAAAGTGTGTCGTAAGGTTTGGCTCATATCGAATTATAAGGGCGCAAAAAGAAGGGCAGCTGAACCAATTCTCTGTTTCTTCTCTGAGAACATTTGGAATTAAATTTTATCACAACCTATCGTCTCCCTTCCAATACTATTGAGTAAACGGAGATACTTTGGCAACCTTCCATCGCATATGAATTTGCTTTCGCGACCTACCCACGGTCATTCCGATAACACTTCCGACTTGCTAAGTTTTACCCCCAGCAATTAAACGAAGCTATAAAAATGATGATCGGGTGAGATTGTTCTGCTCAAATCAGATATTCTTTGAAACGCCTTCCCGGTTTCGAGTGAGAAACGGCTCCGTGGCTCATCTTGTACTGCTCTGCCACTTTTGAAGAACACTTTTCGAAGTTTTCGGTTTTTCGCGGAGCTATTAGGGGAGCTTACGAAATCTCAGCAAATCACTTGCAAGCTGATTCCAAAAGCGTTCTCAGATGTCTGTGTTTGCGGCAACGAGCGAACTCGTTTAATTGCAACATGACCTCGTAGTATGGCTGACTACAAGTAGCACTAATTGCTTATCCAGAAGGAACAGCTATCCTCGTTATGGAAGGCTTCTCTTCTTTAACAATCCCTCTTTTCAGAACTTCTATTTGCCGGTTGCTTAGTTCTGGCTTTCGCATGATGTCTCGTGTCCCTTTCCCTTTCTTTCCGTATTTCCTTTTCTTTATTAGTGAAACCGAATCATCACTATCTGATATGTGCTTCTGTAGCAAGCCCTTGCGTGCAATTCAACTGTGTTCTCTTAAGTCTGTAAAGTCTAGATAAAGTCTTGGGGAGTTGATCGATCTCGTCTGAGGGATGCGCCCACGCATTCAACCTCCATTCAGAATCGTAGTGATGTATTGAACGCGTATGTGGCCTNGTCCTTCCTAACGAGTCTGTACCAATTGCCGACTCCAGAGGGATGGAAGGCTTGGTTAGCTTAGGCGGATATCAATCCGAGGACCGAACCCGTGATCGGGGGGATGTGAAGTGTGCAACTTGCCACTACCCCACCTCCGCCCTGTGTTCGTAAACTGCCTTAACACGTTGACGACAATGTCGCGCAATGGT